TAATAGTTCTTTATTTTGAGCACTTGAAAATGTTGTGCCACTTCCCTGGGGCTACATGTGTTTGGATACAAATTCTATTGTCATTTGAATTGCTTTTCCTCCACAAGTAAGGTTTCATTTCTCTCATATTACTTTTAAGATATTTTTCTTTTCGTTGTTTTTTTCTTCCTTCCTTCCTTCCTTCCTTCCTTCCTTCCTTCCTTCCTTCCTTCCTTCCTTTCTTTCTTTCTTTCTTTCTTTTCTGTTGACTTTTTATTTCTTTATTTTAAGAGTGTTTCTTATTGCTTGTCAAAACATTTTTATATGGCTGCTTTAAAATCCTAGTCAGATCATTTGGGTATCTTTCTCATCTTGTTGGCATCTGTTGATTTTCTTTTCATTCAAATTGAGATATTCTTGATATGATGAGTATTTTTTATTAAAACTTGTACATTTGGGGCATTATAAGACTCTGGATCTTATTGAAATATTTTCTTTTTCCTGATGTTCTCTGACAAAGCTCTAGTAGAAGAAGGACAAGGTGTTGCCCTGTTATGGTCAGGTAGGGGTGGGAGTCCCGCTTCCCTTCTTGGCCTGTATTTCAGCTGAGGGGAGTACTTGTGCATACTCTCAGGGTGGGTGGGTATGGGCGTTCCGCCTCCATTGATAACACCCTAGCTGGGATAGGCACAAATGTCTACTTAATGCTCCCTACCTTGCTTCTGAAATGGGGTGGGGGAAAGAATGAGGGTTGCCTCATAGCTGCCGGGCAGCTGTGAAAGCTCCGAGTGTCCTCTCTGCATCCTCTGCAACCATCCTGGGAGGGCAGGGTAGGGACACCTCATTATCTTTGGATGGATGTGGAAATCCAGGCTACCCACTTGTTCTCTACTGACTCTACAGGGAAAGGTGGTCCTCGTTACCTCTCAGCAGAGATGAAAGTCTGGCTTCCTACAACTTCTCCTACCTCACCCGGTGGAGACTGTGGTGCCTTGTTACCGCCTCACAGTGGCAGGAGTCTGGGCTTCCCGTTAGCTGCTGGCATGGGAAGGGTTTTGTCAGTTCTTCTTACAGTAGGTTGGCTGTTATCTAAAAGTTCTGTTTTGGTTGTTTTTTTTCTTGTCTTAATTTCCTTTCTTTATATTTTTATTTTTTCGTCTGAGATGTATGACGCAAAAAACAAACAACTCACCATCGTGGTGTTCATTGAGTCCTGCCATACCTAGCTGGTCTATCTTCTCTCCAGTATTCAGAATCATGTTATGTTTGTTTCATACAAAAAAATTTAGGACTAAAAAAAAAAGTTAAGACTTTTAGCTTTTCTTAGTGGGATGACTGTGGAAAAGTGTTTCTCCATTTTTCCAGAACTAGAAGTTTTGTACTACTTTTTTTAAGTGATTTTTAAATATATTTTATTGATTTTTTTTACAGAGAGGAAGGGAGAGGGATAGAGAGTCAGAAACATCGATGAGAGAGAAACACTGACCAGCTGCCTTCCTATACACCTCCCACTGGAGATGTGCCCGCAACCAAGATACATGCCCTTGACCAGAATCGAACCTGGGACCTTTCAGTCCGCAGGCCGACGCTCTATCCACTGAGCCAAACCAGTTTCAGCTAAAGTGATTTTTAAATGCTTATTTAAAAAGGCATCGAACACTTGTAATGGTGATGAAACACCTCAGAAATAAATACAAACAACCAGATTTATTTACTTCTTTTTTATAAGTGGTTCTCTATAAACAGACAGAATTTGTTCTCATGAGATGGGTTCTTGTTTATGTGGGCTGTTCCTTAGCAGTACTTTGTTCAAAATAAAATGAAAAATTGAGAGAGTCTGGGTAATGTGACAGGCTTCTTCACGTGGAGTCTATTTTATGGCTTCTTCTTTTCTAAAAACGTTTTCAAACACAAAAACCTAGGCCCGGCCAGTTCGGCCCAATGAACAGAGCATTGGCCTGAAGGCTCCCAGGTTCTGTTCCAGTCAAGGGCGCATACCTGGGTTGCAAGCTCAATCCCCAGTAGGTGCCATGCAGAAGGCAGCAGATCAATGATTCTCTTTCATCATCATTGATGTTTCCATATCTCTCTCCCTCTCCCTTTCTCTTTGAAATAATAAAAATACATATTTTTTAAAACAAAACAAAAAAAACTGGCCTTTCATTTGGGCTTGTATAGTACTCTGGTGATACTGTATGTGATTGTTGATACGTTTGTACCAAATTCATATGTCATTTAAGTTGCTAATTTCCTGTTATGGTATCAGGGTTTGTTGTGGGGGGTTTTTTTAGTCAGCAACTCAAAAGCCTGCAAATATTAAGGTATTGAAGCAATATAAAATAAAATGTAATAGTAGATTCCACATAATTTCTAATTAAGGTAATATTATTTCTAAACAAAACTGTTTTCCCTGGCACTATATTCTTGAACTAGTGGCCTGGTGCACGAGATTCATGCATGGAGGGGGGGTCCCTCAGCCCAGCCTTCACCCTTTCCAATCGGGGACCCCTTGGGGGATGTCCAACTGCCATTTTAGGCCCAATCCCACAGGGTTCAGGCCTAACAAGCAGTCAGACATCCCTCTCACAATCCAGGACCACTGGCACCTAGCTGCTCACCTGCCTGCCTGCCTGCCCACCCCTAACTGCCCTCCCCTGCCAGCCTGATCTCGCTCCCAACTGCTCTCCCCTGCAGGCCTGATCTCACCCCCAATTGCCCTCCCCTGCTGGCCAATTTGGTTCTGATTGGTTTCTATGCCAGTCAGCATCTTTAGGCCTATCTCCAGGCCTGATCAGAGAGGCGGGGCTGGTAAGCAGCCCCTGTGAAGGCTTGGAGAGAGAGAGAGAGGTGGAGAGACAGAGGCACAGCTGCTGGCAAAGCCCAAAAAGAGAGAGGCAACTGCTGATCAACAGCTGCTACAGAGGCTTTGGATCAGACCCTGCCTCTCTCTCCAGGCTTCTTTCTGGACATGACCCACGGCCCACTCAGCAGTCAATGCTGGGTCACTATGCCCACACTGGCAGCAGTCCCACAACCCAGCACTGACTGCAGGACTGACTTTTGGTGTTCAGTCAAGCTTTTAGTGGTCGTTACAGACCCTGGGTTTTTATATATATTAGGATGTACATTATTTTTTGCCTTTTTTTCTTTTGGGCTGTTTATCCCCTTGTTACTTTATACTCTGTTTATCAATCTTTTGTTTGTACTTTGACATGTAGAAGTTCTTTACAAATCTATTATTTCTCTCTTGATTTGTTTTATCTTTTATCTTTTTTATTGCAACTGGGTTTCTAATTAAGATTTCCTTTTTTTAAATAGTACAGGTAGTTTTGTAGATTTCTCATTGCAAGATTTTTATTGTTTTGGTATTAAATTACCTATCCACCTGGGATTTGTTTTTATATGTGTCTCAGTTGTTATTTTTTCAAATTGATGTTCAGTTGTGCCAGCATCATTCATTAGATTCTTTTCCCACTGAATTGAAATATTTATAGGTTCTCTGTTCTCATCCAGGATTTTGTCTATTCCTATGCCCACAAATTTTATTAAGTTATAGTACATGCAAACACATACACACGCAGGATGGTTAAGATATGGTTATAAGGCTGTATGATTTTTGACAATAGTAATTAAGAACGAAATTGCTGCCCTAACCGGTTTGGCTTAGTGGATAGAACGTCGGCCTGTGGACTCAAGGATTCCAGATTTGATTCAGGTCAAGGATGTGCCCAGGCTTAGTTCTGGGCACATACCCAGTGGGGAGTGTGCAGGAGGCAGCTGATTGATGTTTCTCTCTCATCAATGTTTCTAATTCTCTATCCTTCTCCCTTACTCTCTGTAAAAAAATCAATAAAATATATATATATATATATTTTTAAAAAGAACAAAGTTGCTTCTCAGTATTAACTCTCTAATCAAAATGGAATTTAATGAAGAGGCCAGTTGATAACTACCTATTGATAACTACCCCTGATGCTGCCAAATTAATTTTGCCTTTGTAAATATTGAAAAGATAAATGTGTACCATTTTGTGCCAGGTACTTTGATGGGGGTATATAATTTTTTTTCCACATCAAATTTATGAGGTTAGATTTAGCTTTCTTTTACAGATCTGAAAATGACACTTGATTAAATAGTTTAAGTTACTTGCCCAATATTTAACTATTAGGTGGTAAAGGTAAGACTAAAACACTAATGACCAGACTTTTTCAATTGTGCCAGAAATGAAATGTTTCATGTAAAGTACTTTTTTTCCAGTTTTTAAAATTTTTATTTTTAAATTACAGTTTACATTCAGTGTTATTTTATATTAGTTTCTGGTGTACATCATAGCAGTTATATAATAATATACTTCATAAAGTGTTCCCCCAATATTTCAAGTATCTACATATGCATAGTTATTACAGTATTGCATAGCTATTACAGTATTGTTGAATATATCCCCTATGCTTTACTTTATGTCCCTTTCATAACTACCAATTAGTACTTCTTAATTCCTTCACCTTTTTCACCCAGCCCCCTATTAACCCCACTTCTGGCATTCATCAGTCTGTTCTCTGTATCTATAAGTCTGTTTCTATTTTGTTTGTTCATTTATTTTATTCTTCAGATTCCACATAAAATTGAAATCACATAGAGAGTACTTTGTATACAAATTGATGATGATTATATCATCATCTCATCATTAGCATCTCTGATTTTTTTTGTTTTGTTTTTATTTATTGATTTGAGAGAGAGAAACATCAATTTGTTGTTTCACTTATTTATGCATTCATTGGTTGCTTTTTGCTTGTGCCTGATTGGGAATCGAACCCACAACCTTGGTGTATCAGGATGATGCTCGAACCAACTGAGCTACCTAACCAGGGCCTCTAAGTTTTATTTTTAAATGATGTATGCAGTGGAAAAATGCACACTAAAACCTATAGTTAAATAGTTTGATGGAAAATAGGTGTTCTTTCAAGATATGGTCTATGAATAAAATATTAAAAATTATTTGTGTTCTTTTAAACATTTTTTAGAGCCAAAGAAAGTTAAAGTAAAAAAAACAAAACCAGAATTTCCTGTATATACACCTTTGGAAAGTGCATATATTCAATCATATGATCATGGAACTTCTATAGAAGAAATTGAGGAACAAATGGATGATTGGCTGGAAAACAGGAACAGAACACAGAAAAAACAGGTAAATAAGCTTTTCAAAATTTATTTTGTGTCAAATACATGCAGACAAGTACATTAAATATAGATATACAGCTACCTATCTCAGTGATCTATCACTAGAGAACCAAGTTAACCATTGCTAAGATCAAGAAATAGAACATTGCTATTATTCACAGTGGCCAAGACATAAAAACAACGAAAATGTCTTTTGATTGATGATTGAATAAACAAGATGTGGTACATATATGCAATAGAATACTATTTAGCCATAAGAAAAGATGAAATACTGCCACTTGCCACAACATGGATGGATCTTGAGAATATTATGCTAAGCATGCTAAGCAAAGTAAGTCATACAAACTACTCAAGAATCATAACGATTTCACTCATAAAACTGAAGGGAATAAATGAACAAACAAAACATATAAAACCTCATAAATACAGATATCAGTAAAGTAGTTACCCAAGGGAAGGTGGGCTGGTGGGGAGGAGTGTTGTAAACTGTAAGTAGGATCAAATATATGATGCTGGAAAGAGATTTGACTTTCAGTGGTAAACACACAGTGCTATATACAGATGATGTGTCATAGAATTGTACACTACAAACCTATATAATTTTATTAACCAACTAGAGGCCCAGTGCACGAATTTGTGCAACAGTGGGGACCCTCGGCCTGGCCTGCGGGATCGGGACCACACCAACTCTCCGACATACCACAAGGGATCCTAGATTGTGAGAGGGCGCAGGCCAAGGGACCCCACCAGTGCATGATCAGGGCTAGGGAGGGACATGGGAGGTTGGCCAACAGTGAGGGACCATGGGAGGGCTCCAGGGTATGTCCGGTCCATCTCACTCAGTCTCGATCTGCTGGACCCACCCCAGCAAACCTACTGGTATCTACTCCCTGATGCTCAGTGCACATCACAGCCACTGGTCAACTGGTTGACTGTCTGCCCCTTGGTGGTCAGTGCATGTCATAGTAAGCGGTTGAGTGGCTTTAGCATATTACACTTTGATTGGTTGAACAGATGACTGGACAACCGGATACCTAACATATTAGATTTTTATTATATAGGATGTCACCCCAATTAAAAAAGAGGGGCGGGGGCGCATATTTCCAGTACAAGAAGCCTTATTCATGCTTTCTCCTTTGGCACATGAGCCAGGAGGTCACAGTTTGATTCACTGCTTTCCTTTTCTCCCAGCTAGATATCTGTTATCCTGACTTCTAACATCATAGATTAGTCTTTCCTGTTGTTTGAAGTTTATAAATGGAAACATCCTTCGTCAATTCAGGCTGCTATAACAAAAATATAATAGATTGGGTCGCTTAAGAACAAACATTTATTTCTCATAGTTCTCAAGATTGAAAAGCCCAAGATCAAGGCATCAGCAGATTTGGTGTCTGGAGAAGGTCCTCTTCCTAATTCATAGACAGTAGTCTTGTCTGTCCTTATAGGGCAGAGGAGATGAGAGAACTCTCTGAGGTCTCTTTTGTAAGGTCACTTATTTCACTTCTGAGGGCATATCACAGTGGGAGTTAAGATTTGAGGGGAACACAAACATTCCATTCAGAATACATGCCATACGTAATCTTTCATCTACTTTCCTCTCTTCAGTATAATATTTGTAGGACTCATTCATTATTGTGTATAGCAGTGGGTTATTCATTTTTATTGCTATATAGTAGACCATTTAGAAATATATAGAGCGCAAATTATGTTTTTGTTGGAGATTTGCATTGTTTCTAGTTTTGGGCCACAAAATAATTTCCTGTGAATATTATTATACTTTTAATACCGTATTTTTCGGACCATAAGATGCTCCGGACCATAAGACGCACCAGTTTTTAGAGAAGGGAAATGAAGAAAAAAAGATTCTGAAACAAATAGTGTCCTAAAATATTTTATGTGCATTAAAACCCAACATCACAGTCATAAACACATGTAATCAACCCTGTAAACAGCAGCATTTAGAACCATTTTAGAGCCGGGCAAGCACACAGAGACCACACAGAGCCGGGCAAGTAAAAAAACTTTTTTTTAAAGTATATGTGTAGGCTATATTTGGACCATAAGACGCAGGGACTTTTTCCCCCCACTTCTGGGGGAAAAAAAGTGTGTCTTATGGTCCGAAAAATACGGTATTTTATATAAAAAATGTAAATTTTTATTTTTGGAGTTATGTTGCAGGGTTAACTTCAGGAAAATACTTCTAAAGTTTTTTTTAAATGTTTGTATCAATTTCTACTTAAGCAGCATGATATGAAATTTCTATTTACTCTATATCCTTGCCAATAATTGGTCAAGTTTTTTATATTTTAGCCATTATGGTAAGTTATGTACAGATATATAATTATGTTTCAATTTGCATATTCTTTGATTAATAAGATTGATTTTATTAAACACTGATGCACAGAGCCTGTGCACAGAGCCTTTTCAAGTCTTTTTGTACTAGGTTGCCTGCGTTTTTCATACTGACTTATAAAGAGTTCTTTTTATACTTCAGAAATGAATCTTGCATTTATTTCCTCCTGTCTTGCTTTTTTACTCTCTTAATGATATCTTCTGATGATCAGAATTACTAATTTTAATAATGAATCTTTTCTTTATTTGGTGTTTTTTGTGTTGTGTTTAAGAAATATTTTCTTATCTCAAAATAAAGATATTTTCATCCTAGCTGGTTTGGCTCAGTGGATAGTGTTGTTCTGTGGACTGAAGGGTCCTGAGTTTGATTCCAGTCAAAGTCACATGCCCAGTAAGGGGCATGTAATACGCAGCCAGTCAATGATTCTATCTCTCAATGATGTTTCTATCTCTCTCCCCTCTCCCTTCCTCTCTGAAATCAATAAAAATATATTTAAAAAATAAATAAAGATACTTTCACATTCTTCTAGAAACTTTAATATTCTTCTTTTTACATTTAAGATCAGTTATCCCTGGAGTTGATTTTTGTGTTGGGGGTAAAGTAATGATCAAGTTTACTTTTTTTTCCAAAAGTTTTTCATACAATTTACCCAATACCAATTAATAAAAAGACTGCTCTACATATATGTCCATTTTTTCATAAAAGTGTCCATTACCATATGTTTCTATTTCCAGACTTTTCATTTTGTTCCACTAATCTACTTGTTCATTCTTGTGCTGATACCTTACAGTTTTCACTACTGTGTCTTCATAATAGATATCTGGTACAGTAATTTTCCAGCTTTGTTTTCCTTCTATAAGATTGACATTTTATATTTTTATATAAATTTTTAAAGTAACATCATTTTCCACAAATTATTCAAGTGTCATGTTCACTTTGAATTACATTGAGCATATAGATCAATTTTGAAAGAATTGGCATTCATACAGCATTGACTCTACAGGTCTTTTATCTCCTTGGTTAAATTTTTTCCTAGGTTATTTTTTAAAATATATTTTTATTGATTTCAGAGAGAGGAAGGGAGAAATAGAAACATCAAAGATGAGAATCATTCATTGGCTGCCTCCTGCATACCTCCTACTGGCGATCAAGCCCACAACCCAGCTTGTATTCTGTGAGCTTAGACTTTTTTTTTTTTCTCAGAAATCGAATCTGACTTATAAGTTGATGCTCAACCATTGAGCCACACCAGCCAGGCTAAGTATTTTTTTATGCAATTGTAAATGGGATTTTTTTTTTTAAATTTCTCTTTTAGTAGTTTTAGTCCTATATAATAAAAGGCTAATATGCAAATTGTCCCCCCTGGAGTTCGACCTCTCGCTATGACGTGCGCTGACCACCAGGGGGTGGCACAGAACAAAGGAAGGCCCCAGCTGGCAGTTGGAAGGCCCCAATCAGACCTGATCACTAGCCAGGCATAGGAACTCTACCCATGCACAAATTTTGTGCACTGGGCCTCTAGTTGATGTGTAAAGATGCAACCAATTTCTGAATATTAATTTTGTATTCTTCTACTTTACTGAATTTGTTTATTAGTTCTAAGATTTTTTATGGAACCTTTAGGGTTTTCTGTATTATAGTTTTACTTCTTCCCAATTAGATTGCCTTTTTCTAGTTTTCTTGTTTGATTGCTCTGGCTAGGATTTCCAATATTATGTTGATTGGAAGTGGTGAAAGTGGACATCTTGTCTTATTCCTGATCTTAAAGAAAAGATTTCAGCTTTTCACTGTTGAGCATATTGTTAGCCATATAGGGCCTTTTTGATGTTTCCTCTATCCCCATTTTGCTGAGAGTTTTTAGCAACAATGGTTGATGGATTTTGTCAAATGCTTCTTCTGCATTTTTTTATATGATCAGGTGACTTTTAGCCTTTATTTTATTTGGTATGTCATGTTAATTGACTTACAGATATTGAGTCAATGTTACCTTGGAAATAAATCTCTTTCGATCATGGTGTATGATTGTTTAATGTGTGGCTGAATTCAGATTGCTAATATTTTGTTGAGTATTTTTACATCTGTATTCATCAGAGATATTGGCCTATAATTTTCTTTTATGTAGTGTCTTTGGTTTTGGTATCAGGGTAATGCTGGCTTTGTAAAATAAGTTTGGGAGCCTTCCCTCTTCAATGTTGAGAATAGTTTAAGCATAGGTATTAATTCTTTTCATGTTTGTTACAGTTTACCTAGGAAGCCATCTGGTCCAAGGCTTTTGTTTGTTGAGAGTTATTTGTTATTATTGACTAGCATCTGTCTTCACCTGTAGTCTAATGGAATAAAAGTTCAGCAATGGCATGCCTGCTAGCACTTCCATTTCTGGAAATAGTTGCCCCAACCCTTGCCCCTCCAGGCCTCGCCTTGAGCTTAGTCAGTTTACTAGTAGTCCTGTCCCATATGCCCCTGGTGCTTTTTAAGTTGCCCTTGTGCTGGAGCTTTGAGCAAGTGAGTTTGAGAGTGAATGAGTCTGTGTGCTGTCTCTTTAAGTCCTATAGTACCTTGGTCTCCCATAGCCCTTATTTCTCTGAGACACAATCCTTACCAGTTTTCACAGCCTGATGTTATATGGAATCCTCTTCTCAGCACTGATGCCCCAG